TGCACACGTTCCAACTGTTGCAACTACTTGTCTGCAATGATGGTTTGGCCAAGCTCATAGACAAGGCACATAATACAGAATTTGATTTGCATTTTTGATCTTCCATAAAATACAAAAAGAATTAACCAGTTGTAAAATGAAGAAAATAAATTCAATTGTTTAAAAATAAATTAAATTATTTAAAAAATGTTTACACTCAAAAATAGCATCAGACTGCATTTTTCAATTCTTCAAATATTTTATATCATGTTTTTTTTAGAAATAACCAGGATCTGAAAGATTTTTAGAACCATATTGTAAAAATAAATGTTAATTTTTCCCAAACATATACAACAAAGTTTTTTTTCCTATGGAAATAAAAAATATACAGTATATATTTTATTAAAATTGTTTATCAGCAACTCTCTACCAAAAACAGTTATTGAAATTTCTTGAATTTTTTTCTTAAAATTTCAGACTATATTTCCAATGTGTTCATTCAATATTAAATATATTTTTAATAATTATAACAACTTTGGGGATTTAGCTTATAGTGGGTCAGCCAATTTGTATTGGTTATAAATAGAAATAAAAACTGACCCTCTACAATTTTTACAATATCAAATGTAACAAAGACAACAACAAGAGAAATAATCAAGTAGAAGAAAATGTGAATTTGTTCAACAATAAATATTTTTTTATAAACACAACAAATACATAATATATAGTGCAAAAGTTGATAAACACAATAGAGTTCTTTGGTGTGTGTGTTACTGAAAGAATTTGAGCTACTGTACTGTATGTGTGAAAATGACAAGGTTTAGTTAGCTATATTTGTTTTTGTAGGAAAATTAAACAGATGTTTTTTTTGTGTATTAAATAGAAAAAAAGTATTGTTCTTGACTCACTGATTGTTATCGCTCATTAACCAGAGATTCTTGTGGAATGGAATATTTTGTGGGAGTGAGCGTTAAGCCTGGAGATGGTTGACAAAGTTTGTTGTTGTATTGAAGATAAAGTTCGTCTCCTTTGCTGTGTTGATTTCCAATGAAGTCAAGTGAATTGGTTTCAATATTTTAAGTGCCCACTGACCAAGTCGTGTCGAAGTTTCGTTTTTATTAGTTTCTCTTGGTCACGTGGGGAGGCTCAGAAACATGTTTACATTTTATGGCGTCAACTAGAGGTCAAAATTTGGGTCGGTACCTTCGGACGTAGTTGACGACACCTAATTAATATTTTACAACCAATCAAAATACATCAGTTGTTATATTTGGCTGGGAGCCTCTATGTGTTTAACTTGCACAAAATTTAAGATTTAAAAAAATGTAGGAATCTGATTCTACAAGCTTTATAAAAATATAAAAATTAGAAATATCCAAAATTCACGAGTATGGATTAAGAATTAGTAATCTTGAAAAAACAGACTTACACAAAACTTAAAAATAATTTTTTTAAAATTCGGTAAACATGCACAAACATTCCTGTAATAAGACGGAGTATTAAAAATCACTTTTTTTTAAAACTGCTTTCACTTTTCAGCTGTTTGGTTCTTGATTAGAATTGTAATAAAACCTAAACATATAAAAGTGAATTTATACATTTTATTTATTCTTGAGAATTAACAATAAAAATAATAAACACGATTTATTTATTAGATTGTTTATTGGAATGGTTGACAAAACATCGGCTAATTGTCATTTGATTTGAACTTTATAAAATGGTAAATAATAAGGATTTCCTTAGAGTTGGTTCACATATTTTAATAATTTAGTAAATGTTTAAAAATTTATTAATAAAAAATCATTTTTACATTTATTTCTTTATAAATTGGTAAATGATAAATATTGCATTGCATAAGTTTTAATTGTATTAGTTTTTAGAATGTGGTTGTACTGATAAATCATCAATTACCTCCCCTTAAGATCTAGGAGGTATAAAAAGCACCTTATATCTGTCAGTAGATGAGTAGTCAGAGTAAAGTGAAATAAAGCTTTGGTATAAGTTTATTCACGGGTTCTGTTATTTCTACAGTGGTAAATAGAAAATTATTCTTGTAAATAAACAATCTAATAAATAAAAAGTGTTTCATATATTTGTTGTAAATTCTCAAGAACAAAAAATGTACAAATTCACTTTCATCATATGTTTAGGTTTTATTCCAATTCTAATCATCGCTTTTTAAAACAATGAACATTGCCGAAGAGTGAAGGTAGATGAATTATACATGTATAAATTCACTTTCATCATCTGTTTAGGTTTTATTCCAATTCTAATCATCACTTTTTAAAACAATAAACATTGCCGAAGAGTGAAGGTAGATGAATTATACATGTATAAATTCACTTTCATCATATGTTTAGGTTTTATTCCAATTCTAATCATCACTTTTTAAAACAATAAACATTGCCAAGAGTGAAGGTAGATTAATTATACATGTATAAATTCACTTTCATCATATGTTTAGGTTTTATTCCAATTCTAATCATCACTTTTTAAAACAATAAACATTGCCAAGAGTGAAGGTAGATTAATTATACATGTATAAATTCACTTTCATCATATGTTTAGGTTTTATTCCAATTCTAATCATCACTTTTTAAAACAATAAACATTGCCGAAGAGTGAAGGTAGATTAATTATACATGTATAAATTCACTTTCATCATATGTTTAGGTTTTATTCCAATTCTAATCATCACTTTTTAAAACAATAAACATTGCCGAAGAGTGAAGGTAGATGAATTATACATTTATGAATTCACTTTCATCATATGTTTAGGTTTTATCATCACTTTTTAAAACAATTAACATTGCTGATGAAGTGAAGGTAGTTAAAAACATGGTGTCATGCGAAAAACTATCCTTTTAATACTAAGTCTTATTGTTGGTACATTTGTTCATGTTTGCCAAAAATTCAATTTAAAATCCATTTATTAATGAATAAATATAAAAAAAATTCAATGAAATTGAATAATGCCCCGATTTTTTTTCATGTATTGCAATTGCTCATGATTTGAGAGGTACCTAATATATATACATAAAATCTTCCACATATTGAAAAATTTATAAATATACTTTCATCATATGATTAGATTTTATTACAATTCTATTCATTGCCTTTTAAAGCAATAAACCTTGCCAGGGATTGAAAGTAGTTTGTAAAAATTAAATTTTCATTATTTTAAAAATGTTATAATCATCAAAATGTATAATTGTCTTGATTGTTTTTTTAATACACATTCTTTTGAGAGAAGTGTATTTTTTATGTAGGTCAGATGGTTGTGTAAAAATTGTTACAATTGTGTTTCTTTTTCAGCTCAGCATTTAAAACCCACCCAAATTAGTGAAGGATCTTTTCCAGTTCATGGAAAATTATTTTTTTCATATACTGATCAATGTAAAATGTTGTCTCAAGCTCTAATAACTTCCTGAATAGGTGGGGGAGAGGTGAGCCTAATTTTTAAAATAAATAGAGCTCAGGTCAGTAAATGCAAGCAGAAGACTTTTGGACAGCAAGGGGACTAGGCAGGTCATCAACATCAAAGAAGACATTTGATGCGAAGAAGTGAACATTAAAGAAGGCACCAGTTATCAGTCAGCTGCAGAGAGACCAAAAGTTCAAATGAAAATTCTCCTGTAGTTGGACAGCCAAGAACAAAAAGATTTTGAAGAAATTTCCCTAAGCATGAACTGTGTGACATTAAAAGAGGCTAATCAGCATTTGACGGATTGATTTTCTATGGCTTATCAACACTTTGTAGGTTATTTAAAGCCAGAAAATATTTTTAGATCATAAACATTTGGTGGGGTGTGATAATAATGCTTTAGTGATATAAATCTTACTAATTAACCCATGGAGGAGAAGAGGTGGATTAATAACTTTCCCAATGGTATTTTTCATTTAAATGAATATAACAAACCCAACTGGTATTGGAACTCATCTCTCTGATTAACAACTCTAATCCATTATCCATTAAACCACCCGCGCATCCAAACTTACACTAGCTGGTATTCCCAAGTGGGAATCGTATGGCAATGGTGTTTCAAGATGAAGTGGCTATAAACCTTCAATATTTTTTTAAAAGAAAGAAATTTTAACACATGGAGGAATTTTACACATGTATTTTTATATAAAGAATAACATAATTCAAGAAGAAAGAAAATATACTTGTGTGTACACAGATAGATTATAAAAGGAAGTAAAATATTCAGATTCTTTCCTGTTAGAAAGAACACAACACATTCTGTACTGATCACATTTTAGAGCAAAAAGAGAATGTATATGCTTATTTCCTTCTTTTTATAATTCTAGGCAATCTTGTTTTCTGCTAGTTTTACAATTATTTCTTTATTTTTAGTATTTTAATATGGTGTAGATTACTGTATAAATTACAATTCTCAAACATTCAAAAGTGAAATTACTCTATGGACCATTAAAATATTACCGTGGACTCCAAATTTGCTACTTTTTTGTGTCAACCCCCAGTAATCTTACATGCAATTCCAGGGCCAGTTAACTTTTGCACAAATACCCTTGTAAAAGGCATGAACCTGTCTCTTCTTTTCAGGGCAGATTGGGCTCTCTTGCCTTGAGGTGGCAATCTGTCTAGAAGGAAAAGTTTGAATCAGTCAGCCTACATTACCCTAGGCACACCAATCCTATTATGGCTATGATGCATCTATGTCTCAATTAGGTTACATCATCATCCGTGATGTAATGTGATTATCTTTCATTATGTAACACATTCACATTGACTGATTCATAGCTGTTCCTCTTTTATTATAACAGTTTATTGTATATTAGCAAAACTGAGACAATGGGGATTGCAATCGACGTCCTATTTAATTAGCACATCATGTCAAAACATTTTTTAGTAGAAATAAATGGGGGAAATTATTTGTAGAAACAAAATGAATGAAAGAATCAACAAAGGGAAATAACTGTTGCTATTAAGAGTTATTTCCCTTACACAGTTAAATTGAAACTAAATGACGAAAAATGACGTCTTCCGTGTTTGAGGAATGTTTAGTGTTTTGTAAGTATTTTTATATTAATTAAACAACAATTGTTTTTTTTCCTTTATTCCTAAAAGCAACATTAATTAACCCCACATTTTAATTAATGAGTTAATTTTGTGTAGTTTTACTTAGTTCTCCGAAAATTCATTAAGATTAAGAACGACGTTATTAAAAGTAAAACTAAAAAAATAAAAATCTTTTTAGGTTTCTGTTATTTAATTCACCCCAAAATAAAAAGAATTTATATTTATTAAAATTCACACCAAGTTCTCCAAAGCGTGGACCTTTTATTGCAATCCAGTTGGGTTGACGACTCGGGTACACTATTTCTAAGTGTGAGGTCTGCGTCCGCGCTCACCCACAATAAACAAGCCAAAAACAGATTTTTTTTCTTATTTTTTTTTTAAATATTAAAAATTCCTTGTAGGCACCTCGAATATCATCCGCACTTACGAAATGGGAATAACTCCCTGATTTTTGGTAATTTTTCATTCCAAGGGTTGAAGTTGCTGAGCTGGGAGGCAAACTTAGAATTTAATTTGTGAACCACTACTTACTACAATGTTTTACAAGTTCACATTCTAGTCTCTTTTCTTATCTTTGCCTCAACTTTTACCCCTGCTTTCAGATCCGGCTCCAAAATCCTGGATCTTTATCAGAGATAAGAATATTTTTTTGACGAACGAGAGAATTGTCCACTCAATTTTCAAGCCACTGTTGCTTTTAATGATTCTGTCATCTTTAACTATAACCATTTCATGTGGGAAAGCCAGGATAAATTTCCCACAAAACTAAACAATTTTTGATTTTAAATTTATAATTTTAAAAGAAATTTAAAAATTTAATAAAAAAAAAGACAATAATTTTACTGAATTATTACAAAAAACACAGTTTTCCTATTTTAATATTCTGATGAATCTTAATTCTTAAGTTAATGTTTGAGTAAGCTCATGGCAAGTTCTACGACAATAAAATACCCATAGAAATTCCCTGATCATGTCTTTAAATATTTGAGCTGAACAACTTTAACAAAATATTGCAATAACAATCATAAATATGAATGCAGGTCATTATTTTAAGAAGTAAGGGGGTACAAATGAAAAGATTTGAAATTGATAACTTCTTCACTGAAACATGTTAAACACTTCCTTTCTTTCTTTCTTCATGTCTTCCCTTCTTTCTTTCTTTCATTGAAACCAACTAGCATCACTGATATGTTTTTTCTATTTTTCCCCATGATCAGAATGGGATCATCTGTTGTGCGGGTTTTGCTGATGCATTCATCTTGATAGAGCGTAAGTTTTTTATTTTGGGGGTGTTAAAAGGGCAACATCAGACAACAAACACAATTCTAATATTACAAAGTCATATATGAGATAAGCATAGACAAAAATCATAAAAGGCTTTAGTGTACATTTCAGAGAAATGACTGTCTATTTTAATAAACATATATATATATATATATATATATATATATATATATATATATATATAGAGAAATAAAAATGTTTTCTTATCTGTTGGTGGAAGCATGTCTTAGAGAACTGTCTAAGACATCTGTTTCCTTTTGTGGTTGAAAAAAAAGAGAGAGTAAGTTTTGATTTTCATTTCTTTTGGTGGTAAAACACTTGATCTGATGCATTATGGGAGTATTCTATATTCATTTAACTATTTCTTATAATTTAACTTTTTCTTTTTTATTGTTAATTACCATTCTTATCCGTATTTTAAAACATTTTTATTGCTTAACTTTTAATTTCTCTTTTATTATTAATTATTTTAATTCTAGAGTACTATATAGTCTACTAATAGTGTTTTTTTTTTCACAATCTCTTTTGTTGACTTTCGTAAGGCATTTGATTCCACCAGTAGAGATCTCATGCACAAAATCCTCCAACTCTGTGGTATACCCTCCAGAATTGTTGAGGCAATTAGAACTCTGTACAGAAATACCACTGCCACCATTGTATCGCCTGACGATGAGACCGATTCCTTTGAAGTTAAAGCAGGAGTTCTACAAGGCAACACATTTGCTCTGTTTCTGTTTATAGTTGTTCTGGACTATGTTCTGCATATTTCTCTTGACAACACCTTTGAAACCTCGCCAGAATAGTCGGTACCTTCTATGACCAGTCACCTCTCAACTCTTTGGAAATTGACTTTCCCCGACACCATAATTTGGGACTCAGGTTGGACATTGGTGATTTGGGGACAACAATGCAGGACCGAATATTGTGGAAAGGGATTGTCAATGGAGTTTCGACCAAACATAGGAAGGTCGAAGGATGATGATGATGATGATGATGGAGAGACATAAAGCAATAAAAGAGAGAGGGAAAAGAAAGAAAGAAAGAGATATAAAGCAATAAATGTGAGGAAAGGGATTGTCAATGGAGTTTCGACCAAACATAGAGAAGTCAAAAGATGATGATGATGATGATGATGAGATATGGAGCAATAAAAGAGAGAGAGAGAGAGAGAGATAAAGCAAGTAATGAGAGAGAGAAAGTAAGAGATATGAGTTTGTCAGCCACTGCCATGGAACGGACAGGGAAATCATCTCATCCTTACTCCTATGGCATCCATCTGGAAGTGTCTTCTCACTAAAATGGACTTTCCCCAGACACCATAGCTCAGGACTCAGGGTTGATGATGAAGATGAAGATGACGACGATGATGATGATGATGAGATATTTGGCAATAAAAGAGAAACAGAGATATAAAGCAATAAAGAGAGAGAGAGAGAGAGAGGTTTGCCTCTCCATTGCCACGAAACAGACAGGGAAAACGTCTTCTTACTCCTATGGCAACTTTCTGAAAGTGTTTTCTCACAAAAAATGAATTTCCCCAGACACTATAGCTCAGGACTCAGGGTTGGACATTGGTGATCTGGGGACAACAATGCAGAACCGAGCAGTGTAGAAAGGGATTGTCAATGGAGTTTTGACCAACCATAGGGAGATCGAATGATGATGATGATGATGATGAAGAGACATAAAGCAATAAAAGAGAGAGAGAAAAGAAAGAAAGAGATATAAAGCAATAAATGAGAGAGAGAAAGTAAGAGATATGAGTTTGCCGGCTACTGCCACTGAGCGGAGAGGAAAATCATCTCATTCTTACTCCTATGGTTTCTTTCTGGAAGTGCCTTCTCATGAAAATTGACTTTCCCAGACACCATAGCTCGGGACTCAAGATAGGACCGAACAGTGTGGAAAAGGATTGTCAATGGAGTTTCGACCAACCATAGGGAGGTCGAAGGATGATGATGAGGAATAGGGTTCAAGGTTTATTTAATATTTTATTTGTTGCTATCACTACAAGTCCATTATTTTTTAGGTATTAGCAGGAGATGTTCAACACTTTTTCTTTCTTTTGCTGAAACCATGTAGCATCTCTGATATCTATTTTCCATCTTTCCATTCAATCAAAATGTAATATTGCCTTATTTATGAGGTATTGGCAGGGCATAATGGTTTTGCTAACTATGGAAGAAACAAGCAGAATTATAATAAGATTATTAACATTAGAAAATTATTCACATATTTTTTTCGTGATCAGCACTGTGCAGAGCAGAGAATTCAACTTGACAAAAGGAAAATAGATGTTGTGCGGAAAATGTTGAAAGAGAAATTTTCTAGAGCTAAGAGAACTTCTATAAAAAGTCAAGTTTTCTCTGTCCATATGCATATTGAGATGGGCATTTGATTAATAATATAAAATTTGGTTGAAATTTGTTTAGGAATTAGGGGGAGATAACTGGGGAGAAACAAACATTTTTATTTCTCTCGTTAATTTGAATTTCTATAATTGGTAATTTTTTTTTCTTTTATTTCTTTAGTGTGATATTCCGGAATAAATTCTTTCCCACTGTAAATTGTGCTGAAGATTTTCTGTCAACCACTGTTTTATTTAATGCCATGGCTGGGCCTCTTGAAGAGAATTATGCCAAACCACTTTATGCTGATGGAAAATATGACAACCCGTTCCCCACTTGGAAACAGCCAAGGGCATTTGATTTGTGCAAATATTTTTTTTGTGATGCAGATAACAGCAACATCCCCAACCAAAAAGTAAGTAATTCTTGAAAGCCATGTTGTGCAAAGCAAGAAAGAAAAATAGCATAAACTAAAATTTTCAGGTCTAACACATTGGCTCCCACATGACCCACCAAAGGATTGTGGTAGCATGTCTGCAAGGCCCACACAACCCACCGGAGGGTTGCATGTCTGCAAGGCCCACACGACCCACCGGAGGGTTGCGGTGGCATGTCTGCAAGGCCCACACAACCCACCGAAGGGTTGCATGTCTGCAAAGCCACACAACCCACCGGAGGGTTGCGGTGGCATGTCTGCAAGGCCCACACAACCCACTGGAGGGTTGCATGTCTGCAAGGCCCACACGACCCCCGGAGGGCTTGGGTGGCATGTCCAAGGCCCACACAACCCACCGGAGGGTTGCATGTCTGCAAGGCCCACACAACCCACCGGAGGGGCCACACGGTGGCATGTCTGCAAGGCTCACACGACCCACCGGAGGGTTGTGGTGGCATGTCTGCAAGGCCCACACAACCCACCGGAGAGTTGCGGTGGCATGTCTGCAAGGCCCACACGACCCACTGGAGAGTTGTGGTGGCATGTCTGCAAGGCCCACACGACCCACTGGAGGGTTGTGGTGGCATGTCTGCAAGGCCCACACAACCCACTGGAGGGTTGCGGTGGCATGTCTGCAAGGCTCACACGACCCTCTGGTTGGTTATGGTGGTATGTCTACAAGGCCCACACAACTCTCTGTTGACTCATTTCCCAATTTGTTTTCCATAATGATTATTGGGAGTGAGATTCTATGATTGATTGCTTATGAAATCATCGTACACCAGAACCACATTTTTTTCCAAAACGTTTTAAATATTTTTTATTTTTTTGTCTTTTATTTTGTTTTCCTTTTGAGATTTTTGCTGTTGATTTTTTGGTTCTATTTGTATTTTTACATTCACAGATCTGTACTGTACATTCAAGTAAACCAAAAGATGGAGTAAACGGCACATTTGATTGGCAAAAAACAGTATGAAATTAAAACAAAAGTATACTTTATTTACTTAGGAAATCAAAATAATACCTACAACCAGTAAAATAAACACAAGAATTCAAATCTAATAGAAATCACATTCCTTATAAATAAAAAAATCATATTCCTAATGTCTGATTTCTTGAAGCAGAAACAAATGTTTTTTTTTTTTTGCAAGGGTCAGGGATATGGCAAAAAATTTTATTATTTAGCCTTAAGTTATCAAAGGCCGCCAACATGGTTAGTGGCAAGAACGTTTAAAATTTCCACTACCTCCTTGCTTTGATAGTTTTTTTCTTTCTTGCATTTCTTTCTTTATTGTAATTTGTTAAAATAAAACCCTATAAAAAATATTACAATTTGTAAAAATTTGTGGGGAGTCAAGGCATGCCCACCCCAACTGGCCCTGTGAGTCAAGGCATGCCCACCCCACCTGGCCCTGTGAGTCAAGGCATGCCCACCCCAACTGGCCCTGTGAGTCAAGGCATGCCCACCCCAACTGGCCCTGTGAGTCAAGGCATGCCCACCCCAACTGGCCCTGTGAGTCAAGGCATGCCCATCCCAACTGGCCCTGTGAGTCAAGGCATGCCCACCCCAACTGGCCCTGTGAAAAGCTATAAAAAAAAAATATGAAAGCTACATATTGCTACATGACTAGGAAAAGTTGAACTAATTCTTATGTTATATGCCCATTATTGAAATACTCAAGGCAAAGGGAAGAATTACCTTCACATTTACTACAAAATGGATTTATTTTTTTATTTTATTTGAATCACCCCAAGCAAAGTATTAAAGCCACTAAGACACAAGGGATTACAGGGTGTAGAATAATTATTAACAGAAACATTAATAATGAGCAGGAAGAGGAAAGGGTAATCAGGAAGACATTAAATAACGATTGACATTGCATTTAAATATTTGAAGATTAAAGTTGGCTGGAAAGCATGGAGCCGAAAGGGAGTTCCACAAGAAAGGCAGTAGAGCCACTAAGACACAAGGAGTTACAGGGTGTGGAAGAATTAGAAACAAAAACATTAATAATGAACAGGAAGAGAAAAGAGTAATCAGGAGGACAGTAGATAGCGATTGACATTGCATTTAAAAAAAACTTTTTGAGTTTTTTTATCAGTTTCCTTCATATTCATTGTTTTTCTCATTTCCCTAGAACAGAATTGAAAATATAGTGTTAAGACCCTGGGACAACAACTTTTTATTCATCAGTTTATAAACATTTACTAAATTATAAAAATATGTGAACCAACTCTAAGGGAATCTTTATTATTTGCCATTTTATAAAGTTCGAATCAATTGGCAATTAGCCAATGTTTTGCCAACCATAACAACAGATAAATGATAAAATATAAATTGTCGGGTTACCTCCTCCTAATTTTCAAAACCACTACTAGGGGACACTCTCTGGACTATAAATACTTGGCAATATTTTTTCTTGTTCTCTTCTTACCTTATGTGCTAATTCGTCAACATGTAACCTCTCACAGAGAATGCATCCCTTTTTGGAAATACATGAACATACATACACACATAGGTACGTATGCACGCACATTCACTCACTACACATACTTTGGACCAAAACGGTTTTCACATTCTTATGTTATACAAATCATTGTCTTTGTCAATTGTATGCCTTTGTTGTTAATACACTTTCATTTGTTTGTAGATATATATTGGTTCTCATTGTTTCTTTCATTTTTTTACATGGACTTACATCCTGAGTCCGCCATGTTTGTTGTGGGTATTTCAGGAGATAGCATGTTATTCCCAATTTCAAACACCAACCTAACTAATGCCCAAAACAAGTTGGGAACTGCATACATCAGCCTGCAACAAAATAAATAAATAAATATAAATATAAATAAATAATATAAATCACACTCAGTAACCCCTTGCATCTTAGTGACTTTATTGCCTTGCTTGTGGTGAAAAATGTAGTTGCTGAGTCAGTGTTTATTTAGTGTAATTATTACAAAGACCAGAAATTAAATTAATTTAAATTGAATTAAATCAATTTAATTAATTGAATTAAATTAATTTGAATTGAATTAAATTAATTTAAATTGAATTAAATTAAGAAGGTCAGTATTAAATCTAACTATTGTTTGTTTTATCAGGAACTTGATGTGACTCTTCCACTCCATCACCCAGACTTCAAAGAATTCCAGTCACCTCCTGTTAACGGCACACGAGTTGTTTGGCTTGGGCATGCAACTATGCTAGTGCAGTTTGATGGTGTTACAATCCTTACTGATCCTATCTTCAGTAAGAGGTGTGCACCTTTACAGTTTGTTGGTCCAAAACGGTACCGAGATGCTCCGTGTCAGGTGGCAGATTTACCCCCCATAGACATTGTGGTTATCAGCCACAATCATTATGATCACATGGATCATAACTCTATTGTAGAATTGCAACAGAAATTTGGGCCACATCTTATATGGTTCGTTCCAGAAGGCAACAAACAATGGATGGAAGATACTGGTTGTTCGAATGTCAAGGAGATGACCTGGTGGCAAGAGGAGACAGTCCCAAATCATCCAGATATCAGAGTGGCTTGCACGCCCTGTCAACACTGGAGTTCTAGAACAGGCATCTTGGATGTGAATCAGGTAAGGTGGCTGTCCCAAAACCCAATCATCCAGCTGAGAAAAACAGTTATTTTCAGATCGATAAATTGGGTAACAAAAGAGATTTAAAGACAGGAATGTAAATTTTTATATCTGTGTATATACTGAAAAGGTACAACAAAACTGAGAAAATGTGTGAACCTTTACAAAGTCACGGAATAGTAAAATAGATTTAAATATGCAGTTCATGGAAACTTAACTATTTTGCTTGTAACATTTAAGATTTAAAATTGTCTATCAGTAAAGATGAAAAATGAAAAATATTTTCTGATATGCCAATTATATTTTTTATTGTTGCTTTATCTTTCTTACATTAGACATTTAACATAGAGACTATTGCCAATGCATTCCTATTATAAAGTGCCCTTTCCAATGCATTCCTATAGTAAAATGCCCTTTTCAATGCATTCCTATCATAAAGTGCCCTTTTCAATGCATTCCTATCATAAAGTGCCCTTTCCAATGCATTCCTATCATAAAGTGCCCTTTTCAATGCATTCCTATTATAAAGTTCCCTTTCCAATGCATTCCTATTATAAAGTGCCCTTTTCAATGCATTCCTATCATAAAGTGCCCTTTCCAATGCATTCCTATTATAAAGTGCCCTTTTCAATGCATTCCTATTATAAAGTGCCCTTTCCAATGCATTCCTATTATAAAGTGCCCTTTTCAATGCATTCCTATTATAAAGTGCCATTTCCAATGCATTCCTATAGTAAAATGCCCTTTTCAATGCATTCCCATATTAAAATGCCCTTTCTAATGAATTGCTATAGTAAAATGCCCTTTCCAATGCATTCTTATAGTAAAATACTCTAGGAATGCATTGGAGAGGGCATTTTACTATAGGAACGTATAGTAAAATGCCCTTTCCAATGCATTCCTATTGTGAAAAGCCCTTCCCATTTATTCCTATAGTAAAATGTATGTTCTGAGGCACTTCTCTAGTTAAATATCATTTTCACTATTATGCTTTAGTAAATCTCTCTTTTTTTTTCTTTTCTCAGTCCCTTTGGAGTAGTTGGTGTGTGATTGGACCAACACAGAGATTCTACTTTGCTGGGGACACAGGATACTGTGAAGCATTCAAACAAATTGGACATCGCTATGGACCCTTTTCTCTTGCAGGAATTCCAATTGGAGCATATCAACCAAGGTAATGTCTAACAAAATACAAAGTATAACACACACACACACACACACATATATCTGTGTAATTTCCAACAGTAAAATGTGTGTTTTTTTTATAAAGATATTTTCAAATGTTGTATGCAGCATTTAATGTTTTGTGAATTGTTTTGATTGGTTAATTTTGTGAATTGTTTTGATTGGTTAATTTTCTCAGATGATAAAAAATCATTTCCTTTAATGTTGTAGAATAAATGAAAATGATTTCTCATGTAAAATACATTAATGATTTCTTGTTGCATTCACTTTCACACTGATGTACTTAAGAAAACTTTAAGTCTGTATCTGCTCCCACCAGCTTTGGGTTAAATGGCAGGGTAGACTCAGACTTCTAAACTTTGGTGCAACCAATCTAAGAGAAAGAATCCCTGAATTCAAAACTGTAGAAGGCAATGGCAAAACACTATCGTTCCCAGAAGTCATGAAACTTTTATTTTTTAAAATTAGAATCTACTTTGAAGAATCCCAAATTTACAGACACAAAAAATTTATTTATCCAGAATAATGTCTTCTTCTTTGATGTTTTTATCACAATGTTTTGGCTGTAGTGCTTTCCAGCCATCTTCAGATGTCTGATGGTCCAGATAACCTTAGCATTCAACTATTGCTGGTGTTCCACTGAGTCTAAGACTGTAATAACAACAGTTTTAATGTACCAATGTAAATAATGATAACTCTTCATCACAGAAATTTAGACAGAATAACAACAAAGATGAGGATATTAGTCAGAATGTAGATAATAATTCCTCATCCCAGAAATTCAGACTGAAGGCGATCAGGTGATAATAACAAGAAGATGAGGATATTAGTCTGAATGTAAGTAATATAAATAGTGACAACTCCTTATTCCAGAAATTCAGACATATGTCACAAGTGTTTTTTTTTTTTTCCTTAATTTAGATTTCTTTGTGGTTTCCACCATTGTAATATTTAGTATGGCATTCTTGTTTGTTTCAGGTGGTTCATGCGTCCTCAGCATGTTGAACCAGAGGAATCGGTTCAAATTCATCTAGACGTCCGATCGGAGAAATCCATTGGAATTCATTGGGGAACATTCAAATTAACTCATGAGGTAAGGCGTGACATTTACAAAATTCCCAAATGAAATTTGGGAAGGAATAATTTTTATCCTTAGTTTACTTTTTTATTTTTATTTATTACACTCATGTTGTTTACATTGCTATTACTGGCCGACACGTTTTACTACAAGTTAACTTACACTCTCATACCTGATCTTGGGACGCTGAGTTAAAAAATCAAGTCCATTTTTATTGGTTAGCTCTATGGAACTTGAATATTTAGAAAAAATGACTATAACAAAATTTCTCATGATGTTCAAATTAACTCTGATTGAGTCCTTAAAAAAAAAAACACAAATTGCATTGTATTTCTGATTGTTCAGTCAACTGTTTTTTTTATTTTAAGATAAAACTGCTCTCCATTAATCTGATGTCATAATCTGTGCTAATAGGAATATATACTTAAAAAACAAGGTGGATAAAATAAGTAAAGGTTTATTGTAAAAAAACAGTACAATAAGAATAAAAGTAACAGTTATGCACAAGTCAATCCAGTAGTGAGTGCTACTATAGGAAGGTCGATAGTTCTTGTGTAAGTCTGAGTTGTACTTAACAGATCCCAGCTAGTAATATTTACCAACCTCCCCACGGGGTAAGATGTGGCACAAGGATGAGTTTAATGTGGGGCAATCTAAGCCCATATGCTTGACCAAAAATTCCCCATAACCCCTCATAAATGGGTTCAGATCTGTCTACCTCCCTGGACAAGGCTATGCTGAAGGGCAGAGTCTCATCCGGATTCCTCTCTGCCCAAAAGCAGAGAGTTCAACAACAGACAAGATCTGAGTAACAGATCTCAGCTAGACTTACAGATACTTATAGGTAGTTACTACCTATAGTGTTGTAATTCATGGGGGTGACAGGTTATTCCATTACATCATCTGAGATTATCCTCTCTACCTTCAGATTAGCATGGCTGATGCTGATCCCCAGGAGAGTGACTCCTTGTGCCTTCTCAGGCTAATGTTCTCGGCTGACATGAAGTGGAAAGACTATATTGAATCCATTGCTAGGTCAGCTGCTAAGAATGTTGGCTCACTGCGTTGGGCAAAACAATTTTTCTCTCCAGAATTTATCCTACATATCTATAAGTCTACCATTCATCCATGCTTAGAATATTACTGCCATATATGGTCCAGTGCTCCTGCTACATATTTGAAGATTCTTGATAAAATTCAAAAAAGACTCAGCTTCAGTCATTTTCTCACTGCTGTAAAGTTGCTTCCCTCTGCCTTTTCTATAAATACTTTCATGGTAATTGTTTGGATTAGCTCTTCACAATGGTACCTAAACTTTATGAATTTAAGTGCAGTACTAGATTGGCAACAAGGTCTCATCAATTTACAGATGAATTGACTGGATATAACTATGAGTTCTATGTTAACAGTTTTTTTTCTCACACTTCTTGCTTGTGGAACGCTTTTGGCTTCTTGTTTTCCAGTCAAATTTGTTCTTCAAAGATTTTAATGTGGTGTCAAACATTATCTACTGTCTTCCTGATTACTCTTCTAACTGTTCCTTAGTAATGTTTCTCTTTCTAATTCTTTCATACCTGGATAACCCTTTATGTCTTAGTGGCTTTACTGCCTTGCTTGTGGTGAATCTGATTAAAAAAAACAACTGCCAGATTATAATGGTAATCTACTTCAAACATTTTGTATAGGGAGATAATTTAATTTGGGTGATGAGCAAGGTGAATGATTCCACCAGGGCATTAGAGTTGTAGAGATACAAATGGTGATTCTCTTCCTATTGTTGAGATAGTTGCAAGGGTCACATGACGGCTGGCATGTGATGTCAGGGGATAGAGTGATGAAGGGCAGTTGCAATGTAGAGCCCAGAGAAGAAGGACGTCCCTAGCCCACAGCGGTAGGTCTATAGGAAAAACGACATGGCCTAACCAAGTTCATAGAGAAGGTTCCTTTTCTTACACACTTTTTTGTTGCATATATATTATTATTTCTCTGTGTGGGACATGTGTATATGTGTATATATCTAACTTTTCACACCATTTGTTGTTGCTTATATGTTATAATTTTTCTGTGCAGGACACATGTATATATCTAACTTTGTTTGTGATGTAGTATTATAAAACTCTCTGGGAACTAAGCATGTTTGTCATTCTTTTTCCATTCAGCCATTCTGTTCCATTCATGAATTAAGGTGTTATATCACGGATATAATAATACCCATGATAGAGGAAATTCAAATGGGAGAATAAATCTTTCTTCTATAGCAACCTCATGTTATAGAGTTATGAAAGAACAGTAAAAAGAAAAGGAAGATAGGACAAAAGAATGATGGCTGACAATTGCTGGAACTTAAAATGGAAAAAAATATAGTAAGCATTCACAAAAATAAATTATTGAATTTGAAGTTCTTGAAATAATGACTGATTGCTCTCAATATTCGAATTTTAATCACTTATTACTATATATTTCTTTGTTTTTTGATCTTTCCACCACCAAGCAAGGCAATAAAGCCACTAAGATGAAAGGGGGGGTTACTGAGTATGAGAGAATATGAGAAAAAGAAAACATTATTAAGGAGTGAAAACAATAAAAAAGGAGGAATCAAGAAGACAGAAAACTGACATTGCATTTAAATTTTCAAAGATCAAATTTGACTTGAAAACATGAATTCAGAAGAGAGTTCCACAAGTGAAAAGTGCGAAAAAATAAACTTAGTGTAGAACTTAAGGTTACATTAAGCCAATTCAACTGTGAATTGATGAGACCTTGATAAGAGGATCATAGAGGATGGATGTTTTTATTTTTATTATAGTAAATGATTTTGTTAAAAAATGTCTCAACAACTAAGTTCAGATAACTCTGTAAAAAGTCAGGGATCATTTTTACACTGTATTGATATTATGAACAGGACACTCTTTTTAAAATGATAAAAATTAATATTTTGAAATTCTAACAAATCTCATGACTTTTCTTTGAATTATTTTATCACAATTTGGGCTGTATTTTTCAAACCAAAAGCCACAACATGATCTCTTCACTTCAAGTTCGACTTTTATTTCTTTTTTATTTCTACAATGATGTTCACCTTGTACAAGGCCCAAGAGCCACTCAAGGTAGAGAGATACAGAGTAAGTGGCACAGTTTATAGGGATATGTGGAGAAGATAATGGTTAACTTCTAGACTTAAAAAGTTAAGATTATAGGAATCGGAAAGCATCCCCTTGGAAATCAATTCCACAAAGCAGCAGTTCATGGAAAGAAGCTGTTTGAGTGGAACTTAATCTCACCAATGGAATATGAAGGGAATGTGGGTGGTTCTCTACAATGTGCATGGTATGGCGGGTCTTAGCCATAAAGGTTAGAACTGGTGGAACTAAGGAATGTAGTATGTCTGAGAACTTAACATGGAAATATTGATAAAGAAGTGAGAGCCTTGCAATGTTTTGTCTCTGGGAAAGTGGTTGTAGGGTGGAAAATAATACATCCCCCGCAAGGACGTGGAGATGCTTTTGAACTATGGAGAGTGGAAAGTGAAAACTCCTGCCCATATATGGCAACAATATTCCATTTTTGAACTGATCTGGCTCTTGTAATGATAGAGGATAGCATGAGGAGTCAGGTACTTACTGAAGTGGTACAGGGAATCAACCATTTTCCCAGTATCTTTAGTGATGGATTGTATGTACGAGTTGATGTCTGGGTTGAACTCCCAATAGGAGTTAAAGGTACGAGGCATCCCTCAGAGAACACTCATTTATTGTGAGAGGTAAAAATTCAGGGTCTGCTCAGTGATGATGGATTGTCACCATCTTGAATTAAAAAGAAAGACATGTAACTGGATATTTTTGTTGTATACCTTTATTTATGTATGTACATTTCAGGAAGCAGTAAGGTTTCAACTAACAAAACCCACTATTGCCACAACTTATAAAACACCAGGAAAAGTTCCCATTTTATTCTAGAACAAAATTTATAAGAAAAACATTAGCTTTAGCCTTTTTATCTTATTACTGCTTCCAAAAGCAGAAATGAAGAAGTCAATTCTTTGATCAGATTATATAGTACCTTTCCAATCTTCACTGTTCTTTGATTTAAGCCAAGAAAAAGAAAACAAAGAAACTTTTCTAAAATTGATCAGATGCAACTCATACTTGAAAGTCAAAATATATACTCTCGTGCTCAAAACAATAAAGGTGAGAATATTCATCTGAAATGTCTTTGGGATGATGATGTTTTTTATGCTTTTCTACTTCAAGCTTGAATTTAACACTTTTCATTGTTCTTTATTTTGAATATTTGACAGCATTATTTGGAGCCGAAGGAGAAGCTTAGAGAAGAAGTGGAGAAACAGAACCTTTCCCCTCAAGATTTTATCACGTTGAATCATGGAGAGATTCGTCTTATTTGCAACAAAAAACTAAAAGAACTTTTTTCTGAAAACTGCTGACAAAATGGGAGAATGAAAAGGGAGACAACTCTGAAAAAACTTGTAAACTGCTAGCAATTAACTTAATTGTTGTTTTAAACAATTTTTTTTAAATCACCCTTTTTTCACACAAACAAATATCTGGTGAAATTTCACAATTCAGACACTCTCATGAGGCTTTGATATTTTTAATAAAATTCAATAATATATTGTGAAAGGTTTGTGTTAATTTTGTGTTTGATATATACATATATATGTATATTATATATATACATATATATATAATTATAATATATTGCACATATATATATATATTTACATTATGCCAAGTCATGATATCGATGAGGGATAATATGTATATTTATTATTATAATATTATTATAATATTTGTATTATAATAATATTATAATAAAAACATATTACATTGCTACACAAAAGCTGTCATGTTTCAATACTATGATTGTACTTCCTCAGGCCATGGTAGATAACTTGTGATAAAAATGATTTATTAAGAAAATTTAAAAACAAATTGTTACCTCTTTTTGGAAGTTAAAGGGGGCGGCATAACAGAGGTAATGATTTGTGTTATAGACAAGCGTATGGTTGCAAGAAAGAAATACGACAACAGCAGAAATAGATTTACGTGATTTATTTCAATAGGAACGTGTGGGTTTGGGACAGCTACCTTATGGTATAGTTCATAAGCCGGCTCCCGGTCTGGGTTGATCTCTTATAGTAGTTCTCACTGGTTGGCGTGGTGCTCCTCCTGCTGACTGCCCAGACTGACCATGACAGATCTCTTCCTTGGCCTCCTGTTGACTGCTGTTGTACTTCCCCGTGTGACCCTTTTTATGGCGTTTTTATGGCTTAACAGGCTCAAAAAACGACACGAGTATAATTAGGAGGGAAGCATTTTTATTGGTCGAGAAATAGGAACACTTTAAAATATTATTTTATTTTTTTCGACTGGAACTTCAAATATCAGGCCTATGCGTAAACGATGATAATGGTCATTTTGTGATGGGGCCTTGTCCTGTTCATATCCGGCTCTTGCTCTTGAGTATGTTAGTTTATTTGCCTGTAAATCAGCTGAGATATGTCTTATTTTATTTTCACAAGTTACCAACCATCGCCTGAGAAAGTACAATCATAGTATTGAAACAGGAAAGCTTTTGTGTAGCAATGTAAAATGTTTTTATTATAATCTGTTATAATAATATTTTGCTCTACTTTGTATTGAGCACCTTTTTTTAAAATGTAAATGTTACAAACTGTGGATTTTTATTCTATCTGTTCTTTCTGTTATTTGGATATTTTATATACATACATACATAAATACATATATATATATATATATATATATATTTTTAATAAAAAACAGACCACTTTAAGGTTCCATGTAATAATTTCACCACAACCATTTTAGAAGGGCTCTGGATCATCAGACTTGACTTCCAAAAGTTGCAATGAAAAATGAAAAGAAACTTACACATTTTTGACGGACCGCACCAAGCATATGTAAAATTAATGAAGTGAGGTAGGAGAGAAGATATGAGTGAGTTAGATGTACCATTTTCAATTCCTTATTCTTAACCCCACTCTGTGTAGGTTAGACGCCGCTTAACTTAAGTTATCTCTAGATAAAGATGGGTAAGGGGTGAGGGAGAAGACCGACTTAAAGGGGGAAGATACAGTTAGCTATAAAATAATAAATCATGTCCCTGAGAGCAGGTTTCACTCAAATTCTTAGACACTGTTATTTCGCATTACTTTAAAGGGTGTATTTGGGGGTTAAAGTTTGATATAAATCTAAATGTCTAAAAAATCTACGAAGAATTTAATTAAATTAATTTTAATTAAATTTAATTAAGCTATGGGTAAAATAGCAGGACAGACTGGGTTCTATAGCCTTGGATGGCAACTGGTCTAGGAGAAGGACAACTATGAATTCAAAACCTGCAAAGGGTCATTTGGGGACCTTGTGGCATGTAGTTCACCAGGTCTCTGTATTCATCCCTTCAAAAAGTGTGGTTGGTCCTGCACGAAACCTTCACCACTATAATCAAATCTCATGTGCCGTTGTTGGGCTGTCGGTTTCCTGGAAACTGATCTGCTTGACCCTCATATGTCGAATTCGATGGGACAGTCGACTATATATATCATACAATTAATCAGAATTAAGATACCATTATTTAAATGATCATTTTCACCTTGTAAAATTAAATTTACAGGATTTTTCAAACAGTCAATGGATGATAAATTTTTGAAATAAATAACAAACAAGAAGGCGGAAAAGAAGAAAAACAGGGGAAAAAAAGATGAATAGAAAGAAAGGAAAGGTGGAAAACAAAATGAAGTGGTGTAAGTCTTGATATGAGTGGTGGTCAGAGGGGAAAGGAAGAGAGAAGGAAAGGAGAAAAAGAGATGACCTATTTAATATACCCAGCAGAAATCAGACAGTAGATAGGTCAATAAATAGCAAGAATTTGTATTTTCTTCTTGTGATGCAAATTACACAATATTGGTATAGGGTGTGCAAAAATGTTCTCAGTGTCTCTTTTGTTTAAAAGTCAGTGCTCACTTGGTTTGGTTCTGAGAATTTCGTTTGTGAGGATGCATTTGACATCATTTGTTTTTGAACTTCCCAGAGCGCTGATAGTTTCTGTACTGCTACTTGCCTACTCATCTACTCTACTACTGACTACTGCTATGGGTACCTTAGTTTACACTACTCAACTACCTCGGTTGTGGTGGAAGGGTCATTCTTTATAATGATGAGGGTTAGGATGATGAAATATTCTTCTTTTCATCACTGATAGGAAGGTTATTTTTTGAATGAAGAAATATCATCATCATTCTGAATCATAACACTTTAATCATATTGTCCTTTTACAGATATATTTTTAGTTATATGTGAAATTCTAAATGAAATGGTTTGGCTGTATATAGTGTACAAATAAAGAAATTCTCAATTTTTTTATATATGCATCAACAATCTAAAAACTAATACAATTAAAACTAATGCAATGCAATATTTATCATTTACCAATTTATAAATACATATGAAAACAATATTTTATTCATAAATTTATAAACATTTAATAAATTATTAAAATATGTGAACCAACTCTAAGGAAATCCTTATTATTTAACATTTTATAAAGTTTGAATCGATTGGCAATTTGTCGATGTTTTGCCAACCATTCCAGTAAACAATCTAATAAATAAATAGTGTTTATTATTTTTGTGGTCAATTCTCAAGAACGAAGAAAATGTAAAAATTCACTTTTGTCATATGTTTTCATTTTATTTCAATTCTAATCATCGCTTATCAAAAGAATTGTTGAAGTATGAAGGTAAATTAAAAGAAAAACAGTTTCATGAGAAAAACTGTCCTTTTGTTTTTTTGTAGGCATAAAAATCCATGTTTGCCCAATTTCCTTAATTTCTAGAATAAATTTGTTATAACTGATCCATATACCAAGGTACTTACTAATTCTACATCCTGAATTTTCATGATGGATTCAGGATTGGTGCCATCACTGCTTTCATTCCAATTCTAGATCATATTGAGGTTTGGACTGAGGAATCAGATCTGAGTTCGAATTCTAATCAAATCAATTATAATCACTAATGTGCTAATACCCTGGGGAAAGGTATGAATCCTCTTCTCCCACCAACTATGGGTAAATGGTAGGACAGACCAGGTTCTATAGACTTGGATGGCAGCTGGTCTACCACAGAAAGAAATGGCAACATACTGTGAAAAAAATCTGCCTCGTCAGTCATGTATCAAAAGGTACATGATTGCCTAAGCATGTATCCCAAATGGCACATAACTGACTGAGTTACTCTTTGGGAAAAGTTTTCTTGGAACACTTGGTGGCTTATGGCAATATCTTGTTCAATTTTCTACCCAATAACAGATAATTTTTTTTACTAAAGTTCACCCAATACAAGGCCCAAGGTACTGTGTGGAGTTGTATTAGCATAGGAAAGAACAAGTGTTAGGAGTATAGAGCTGAAGCAAGCTTTATAAGAAACTGGAAAACCAGTCCTAAACTGGAAACAAGGAATAAACCTCTGCTCCTATTCAAAAGACTGGGGAGGAGCATGAACTGGATGATAGATGACCCTATCTACTCCTATGGCTGGAGAAGAGAAAAATTAAATAAAACCAAATAAATAGGGAATAAAATTTCATAGTTCAGGTGCAAATGTTAGGGGTACAGACATGTCAAAAAGATTCCACAATATACACTGTTTAAATCAAAGTGTCTATTGGTCAGAAATTAAGATCACCATATGAAATATTTGACCAATCAGAGAAAACTAAAACCCTATTTTTCTCGTGCCTACTTTTGAGAAAAAAATTCTTATAAAAACACATAGATTTCGACTCCTAAGAAAGAGATGTAGCTGTCTCCAAACCAAAGAGAAGATGTGTCTACATAGCTTCCCCACCTTCCAGTGCATGCTGAACGAAAAATGATTTTGGTGAGTTCAACTGAATCATTTCCAACAACAACAAAGACAGTGAATCTTTTTTCAATCACAGAATTTTCTGTAGACCAACTATTTAAAAATCTTTTGTACACCACAGATTTTTCTGTGAACCAGCTACCCAAAGACTTTAACTAAGATAAAGACTATTTTTATTCTTTTTTGTGTAGATTTTCTTCTTATTGGTTGGGTATCTGCCAACAAAGATGGCTGAAAAAAAATCAGCAGCTTCGAATCAAACACTGGATTCTGACAGTGCACAAACAAGACATCCATAGGGGAACACCACACATATGGGACAAACGCATCTGACATATCAGAAGTACAAACATGAACAAATTTCAAATGATGCTGTGTAACACAAACACAAATCCTTGATAACACACTGTGATTCCATTATGTGGTCAACACTGCAAACTGCCTCTTTAGAAAAAGGAGCCTAAAACTTTATCGGTTGACTCACAAAGGAATCATTTGCATAGTTAACACCACTCACCTCACTTTTCTGACTATCTCAT